CTATCTATCTATCTATCTATCTATCTATCTATCTATCTATCTATCTATCTATCTATCTATCTATCTATATATGTATATATGTATATGTATATATATTCTGTTTAGTTTCCAAGTCCACATCTGCTTATCTAAAATTTGGATCTACAGTTTTACTAATTTACCTTTAATTTTTTTGAAAATTAAATTAATATATAACTCCAGTTTAATAAGTTACTACTTCCTTATTAGGATTTTTGTTTTATTAGACCTCGCTATTATTCCACTTAAATGTAGCACGTATCTGTTCTTGTGCCTGGACTCTAAACTCTGAAACAAAATGACCTGTGGTGTGAAAAGCAAAATTTGTAACCATATAAAAAGAATAGATGCTTTCTACAGCACCTGATTATATCCGACTAGATATAGGCAGAAATTCAGATTTAGCTTTCAATGTTTATTTTGAGAAGAGTTTTCATAAACAGTAAAGAAAAATCCAAATATTAGGGGTTTCTTGTGGGAGTGCTTGTGTGTTTATACTTATAAAAACAACAATGGTGGTGGTTGGGCAATACACAGCAAGACTCCTGCTGCTATAATCAAGGAAATACGATGGTACTATATGGCACAATTATTCATTATCTAATAACAATTGCTAAATGATATGTTTTAGTAAGTTCATTTGCTGGCTAGTTAATGTATGGTTTATTTTCATAAGTAACCAATAGTTTGTCTATAATAACTTTTTTCTTTCTTCAAAATATCATTTTGTGTTGGATTTACATTTGTTTGTAGTTTTTTCTAGTAAAAATCACATATCAGGCAAATAGATTCAGTATGCATCTTGGTTGATTTTTCTGACCCTTCAATTGATCTTGATTGCTGGTGACAATCTGAATAAATTCATGCAATTTTCCTGGCAATTTTTGGGGAGAAATGGTTTGGTATTGTCTTTTTCTAGGTTAAAAGAAAGTGACTGACCACTCAGATGGCTTCATTTCTGCTAAGACTAGAAATCATAATCTTCCAGTTTCTAGCCCAATGCCTTTAATCACTATTCCCAACTGACCTTCCTGCTTCCTGGTAATAGTAGATAAGTCTCTTCTATAAGCAAAGTGCCAAGCAATGAAAGTGATAGCTATTTTATTATATAAAATATGTATGTAGCATTCTGTAGAATCGACCATATAATTTTTTTTAGTTTTTTCTCAGGCAGATCAGAGACAAAGTTCCAATCAAGAGGAAGGGCACAGAATTAGATTACTTTCTACACGTGCTGATGTCATTTTTCAATTCTGAAAAGCTCACCTAAGAAATGCCAGAAGGGTATCTTCCAAATCTACTTTAGTTCCATTAGCTTACAAAATGCAGTAGAAATTTCGATGAGTAAGGAAATATAAATTCTTCCAGTTTATGTGATACATATACTAGAACTAGCAGAACTAGCAGGGCACTAATTATGTCAAAGTATTTTATATTGAGAATGCTGAGACTTTAGTGCAGGATTTCTTTAGCATTATAGAAATACAAGATATTGTACATTCATTTGATCTCATTAGCTTTATAATATACAAGGAAAAAAAACATCCCTGTGATGTGAGCAGATTAACCAAT